CAGCTACTCATTTTTGCAGTAAGGGTAAAGGGAAATGGAGAGAAAACATAGAGGAAAAGACAGGGGGTTTTCCTCCTTTTATAAATTGTGGGAGGCCCTAACATTCAAACAGGGGAAATTCAGTCTAGGTGCTTGGAAGTTCCAGCATTTTCCTTTCTAATTTGTAACTCCATTCTTGGGAGATACAGGACTGGAGGAGGCTTATGAATTGTACACCTATTTTCCTTGTTGCTACAGACACCACTTCACGTAATTTCTTTCATAAATCAGGCCTTTTGTGTAGCTTCTGCTATTTTTGTTTGACTGCTGATTTAGATGATCAGCCCTGTGGTTAAAATCGTGTACTGACCACGTTAAGTGTTTCTGTGACCAAGTCTGGAACGCCTGAACTTTGTGTTAGCGAAGTGTGCCTATTGGTAACCTAGGATTAATGCTTTGTGATGAAGATGTAATTTTATAAAATATAGAAGATAAGATGATTGAGTTTTCCTTATTCTGTATTTAATGTGTTTATCTAAAATATGCTGAGAAGGTTGAAGGGGAGAAAGAACAGGGTTTTTTTCCTCTCCGTTATTGTTGCCTTTTGGATCTGATACATCAGATTTACTTACTGGGTTTATTGACTTTTTTATTTTCAGTCGGCCTCTATCTTCTAAATGGTCTGCAGCCAGCCCAGCAAGTCTTGCAAGCAGAGGTAAGGTGGTTGCTATATAGTGCAGTGCGCAATAATTGTTCTTTATGTTCTTTGAATTCAAAGTTTTAAATGCAGCTTAAAATCTTACTGTCTTAAGCACTTATCCTGTTTCCAAATTGAGTAATGGTATGTGTCACTACAAACTGCACCTGGAGCTAAGATTGCCTCATACTCACTTCACATTTATGTATTTTCAGTTGTTGCAAGTATAAGACATAATTTGCTATGTATTGGTATGATTAATTGATCATCTGTCGTGGAGTTTTGTCATGGAACAGTCACTCTCAAAGAGGCAAAACATTATTCTATGGTCTATTCATGATTATTAGGCTTACGGCAATTGGAAATAAAGGACTCATACCTTTCCTCTGTTCCCATGTAGCTGCTGCTCTTTATAAAACACAAAAACCAAACCCACAGATTTGTAATTCAAAGAGTTTAATTTTGTCTTGAGTTTTCAGAATTTAATATCTTTGTTCTCTTTTCACATAATGTGTTTGTAACTTTTGGGGAGTAAATTACTGAACTCAACCTTTTATAAATGGCCAGTAACTGCAAGTGCTTATTTTCTGGATACTGAAACTGTTAAGGAGGAATCAAGTTTTGAAGATGTAAACCAATGGTTAAAATTAACTGAAGCAAATAGTTAATATTCAGTAAATAATAGGAGGTGAAAATAAAAATACTTCACAGAATACTAGACCACAAAGCAATTAAAGGTTTGCATTCAGCTTGCCTGTGGCTTTATCTTAGCTGAAGTGTGGGAATATTATCTTCCCTCAGTATCTCAAGGGATGCTGTGAATTTCCTTCTATTTGTGAAGCATTCAATAATGTAATAAATCACATAAATGTTCAGAATTATGTAATTTGTACTAAGGTGAGAACACATAGTTTGTATTAAATAATGGTAAAATTTCATGCTGAATGAAGATAGATACTTCTGTAAAATAAATGGTTCTTTATCTGAATTGCATGGCAACACCAGGTCTAGTTTGCTTAACCTCAACAATGCTTTGTTTAATATTAACTTGACTTAGGCTATTTTACATAGTTTTCTGTACTTTTTGCAGGTATGCTGCAGTAGTAGAAAATGTTAACCTTTCAAATATAGTTAATTTTATTCATTACCAACTGATTTCCCTTTTTTTAAATTTTTTTTTTAATTATTTTGCTAGTTTCAGGCAGCAGCAAGAGTGTTCCAAGCCCAGGAACTCTACAAAGGTCTCGCAGTGACATTGATGTTAATGCTGCCGCAGGGGCAAAGGCCCGCCATGCTGCTGGACAGACAGCTGGGGCTGGGCGCTTGTCAGCAGCTGGTCTACCTCCAGGATCTTACGCTTCGCTAGGTAAGGGAAACATCTTTACAATACTGTGAAATATTTTTTGAGGTTTTTCAAAAAGTTAACGGGGAAACTACTACATTTGAAAAATTGTCATCGTTTTTACTAGTGTTGGAATATTGCAAAAGAGCAGGTGTTCTGAAGTTACCAACTTTGCTAAATGTTTTATTTTTCTTGTGCTAGGAGAATGCTAATGCAAAGAATGTATACATACTATGCTCTTTAAATGTGTTAATCTGGAATTAGTATTAAGTATTGGGAGGAGCAGTACCTTCACTTAACAGCAGATGGTGATCATGGCTTTTTTGTTTATAGAAGTAATAGGGAAATGAGTGTTAAGACTCTTGATTTTCCATTTTTCTCAGCTCTTTAGCTAACTATTTTACAACAATGCTAAAGAGACATCCTGGCAGTAAGTGGTGGCTTCTTCACGTTAATACAGAAGTGTTTTACACAATAATAGACAACATTGATTTCACAGGTATCTTCCTAAGCATGTTGATGGAACTATGCGTATATTTTTATCTAGGTGACAGTCTTCATTGATAGGAATGCTTGCTGCTAGACATAGAAAGTGCTACAAATGATAAGAGTGCAGAAGAGTATTTGATAGTGGTGTTGGTAGATGCTAGAACCTCCGCTACGTGGGGAGGGTAAAAGAATATGGGCGTGATGTTGTTCTTTTTAGGTTATCCATACTGCAGGGGTAGCAATGGGGGAAGTGAGGTTCAGTGTTCACAAAATTGTTAGTTTTTTCGTCTCAGCTTATGTGCCAGCTAGATCACCAAGGAGGCATGTCCTAATGTCAGTATTGCCAAAGATGATCACAAGAGAGGCAGAGAAACTATATAGTTCTTCTGATTTACCTTGTGTTCGGGGAGCTGCTAGGGTACATGTAGGCTATGGTTTTCAAAGTTTTTGGTTGTGTTTTTTTTAAATTAAAATTTAAATGAAAAACTATTTCAAAAGAGTTGATTCTTTTGTCATCAGGGCCTACTTGAAATGGTTTGAACACCACTGACTTTAGGATTAAGTTTGAGTGTGAGCGATGCTGACTAAAAGGAATACTTGCTACTTGAAATAGTAATTTCGGGTGTGTGCTCCCTCTAGTGCCCACAGTGGGGGAATAGGAAAACCTGTTGGGTAGCAGGGGGACACTGAAGGTAGGCTGCTCAGTTTGTTTGCTGGAGGAGATACGCTTGTGGTTATCTTTTGAGGAGTTCTCAGTTCCTCAAAACTTAATGCCTAAAAGCCTGAAATAGGTGGGATGATTATTCTCCAAGACCAGAGCATTGCCTGGTCTGTTTTAGTGTGCAACAGGACGTATTCTGAATCTCACACAAAGCTGGAGTTCAGCTATTGTGAGAAGTAGAAGTGGTACAGAGCATGGTGGTAGAAAGAAAAAAAGTCAAACAGAAAACAGAGGAAAAATCTCTCCCTGTTAATCGATCTTCATGCTGATGAAATGGACTACTTTGGTCTTAAGAGTTTCACAGAAAATTAGCTCTTGATTGGAATATTGGTTTAATTTCAGAACATTTCAAGCAATATGTGACTCATGCCCAGAATTCTTTAGGCAAGGCTTGAGAAGGACACAGAGGTTTTCAGGGAAGTAAAGAGTGGTCGTTTTATGCAGGAAAATAACAGAAACAAAGAAATAGCTTATTCTTTTTGTAGTTTATAGATTTGCTCAGTGCTGGTGAGGGAGAGGAATAAATAGGCAGGAAGTCCAGGTCATGTTCTTTTGAAGGATTTGAGTAGCTGGAAAGCTTTACCTTGCTAACAGATGCAATCTCTTGTGGAGAAGAATACAATGGTGGTTTGAGATGGCAAAATAATGTGATACAAGCAATGTATAGTAAAGTCAAATCTTACTACATATGGTATAAGGGCAGTGACAGTCAAGGAGGCCAAGGTTTGTTTACAGTCACATAAAAGCAGTACTGCTTGATTGATCTTGGCTCATTCTCCTTAAGTAGAAAAGTAAAAAAAACCTATTAACAGTTTTCTAATAGTGGTAAGGTAATTTAAATGACACATAAATGACACATACCTGTACCGTCTTACCTGTGTAGAGAGTGTGACTGTTGTGTGTTTGACTATAGATTAACCATGGAATCCACTTGAAAATAGTGTTTGCTCTTATTTTTCAAAAGATAACCTTAAAATGAATGGAGTGTGAATCCAAGCAAGCGCCATGTTTCAGAAAATGGGCTAATTTGTAAACTTCTCCCCTCTGTTCATTTTAAGGGGGTTGTTTGTACTAAATCCAAATATGGCAACTTAAATGACAGAATTGTCAAGGTAATGCTGACCATGGTACTAAAATGCCTAGAGAATTACTGTATTTCCATAATGCTTTCCACATCTTCTCAGGTGTTGCAGTCAATACCAAAATAAATAACACTGTCTTGTCTGGAGCTTGAATTTCTTTTCATTTTCACCCTTACTTAGAGAAACATCCACCTGTTGCTTAAACAGCTGCCAAATTTAGAGCCTCAGAGAACCACAAATTCATGAGCATAGTAATCTGTAATTTCTTTAAAGACTGTTCGAGAAGCATGAGGACATTCTCTGCTTTAGTTATTCTAAATGTTGACTATCTTTGACATCCTTAAGTATTAATGTCCTTTTTGAGGAGACTTGAGCCGTAATTATATGTCTCACACTGAATACTTTAATTTTGATTGTTACTGTCAGAACATGTATGCACTACCTTCCAGCTGAACTGGTAAATCTTCAATGCTTTTAAACCAGAGTGGAACTGTCTCCCATTTGTCCTCTGTCTTTATTGTGATGTCTTTTTCCCCTCCTGTCCCGTATGCCAGGTGGGGCTTCATGCTCAGTAGTAAATTTCATAAGAAACAGAAATACTGTGGTTCAGTGAAGATATAAATATGTACTGGTGCTTCAATAACTGTTGACACCAAGCATGAAACAGTTTATAAATATTTTACTGTATGGGTTTGCTCAAATCTGGGTAATACTGAGAGATTCAACATCCCTGTGCAGGATACTTGTACCCTGTTCCATAATGTTATACCTTAAACTGAGAGAAACCAACTTTACTTAAGGTAGCTTATACATGCATGAATTAGATAAACATGTCTGCTGTATTTAATATTAATGTATTTTCCTTAATTAATGTTTTATGACTCTGCTGTGAACACCTTTATTCTAACACACTAAGTTTTCCATGTTTCTTTGCCTGCTTTTTCAACAAAGAGGATACTTCTGACAAGATGGATGGTAAGAAATTGTTTAGTCTGTCCTCTAATTCTATTAGATATTTAATAAAATGTCTTTTATGTAAAATTATTGATGTTTAATATATTTGTCTGTTCATTAACAAAATACTATGCTGTTTTTATTAACCCCTGCATAATCTTGATGTTGTAATATATGTGTTGTTATTGCTGTATTTGTCAGTAGTTTTGATGATTGGTCTGTATCAGCAACAGAAACTTTATCAGAAATTGGGTGTTACTTCTGGTTTTTTTTTTAAAAAAAAGCTCTATTAATTGCAGAGCAATTGTTATCAATACATTCTTTTTCTAACTAGTTCTAGTTCCATCGTGTTTCATAGTTTTACCTATAAAGTAAAATTTTTTGACTTCTTGGCAGAACAGCAATGGAAGAGCAGAAGATGCTTGACCACATTATTAAGGATTTTAAAAAAAAAAAAACTGAAATCTTCTCTTTCAAAAGTACCCTATCAAAATCTAGTCTAACTACATAACTTTAAGTGCCTGTAAATCCTGTAATACAATGTAATTCTGTTAAAGAATAGTCTATTAAGAAGACCTACCTGGTAAAATAGCTTATCAAGTATTCCAGCTAAGTTTGAATGCTTACTTTTTCTTAATTCACTGTATTAAACACATGGAGGGAGTTGTCATGTCTTTCTATCCTGACTGCAAGGCATTTGAGAATCAGGCTTCTTATAGCAGTTGTCTGTTTCAGGTGTGTGTAAGTAATGATTCCCATATAATAAAAAGATAGAGTCCCAGCTTGATGCCCAATAATTCTAGTTTTAATTTGTTGCTGGGGAACACTTAACAAGCCAGTTATGTTTGCTACTTAATAATTTTTGTCACATGTGTTTATTAACAGTACATGTTTCAAAGAATGAGTAGTTTACTGGAAGCAAAGCAGGCGATATTTTTTGTAGAAATGAAAACAGTAAGAAAGTAGATCTCTAGAACCCAGAATCCTGAATTGTTTTAAAGCACAGATAATCAGTTTCATGAGAGATACTTCTTGGAAGAACTTGAGCCATTTTTGAGTATTGCAGATGGCAAGCCTACTTTAATAACATGAGGAGGGTTTGCGCAGGGTAGTGGTGTCTGTATTGCTTAGTTCCATATCAGATTTCCTTATGTTGCATGTAATAGGGTTTATTTATAACTATCTGTGCTAAACACTTAATCTTGAGCTTTTGCACTTTGTCACCAGCAATAAAGGTTTGTAGGGCCATGTGTACAGGCGTTTTCTTTTGTTCAGACCAGTAGTCACAACTAATGGTGCCCCACACATCTGTTTAAAAATAGCAGGGAAGTGCTACACAATTTTTCAGAATAACAGGGTTTTTTTCTAGAGGATATCTGTAGGGATGATGTGCAAGACGGAATGAACACAGCTTAGCTCTCCAGCTGTAGTTGTATGATACAACTTCTCTGATCTAACTGCCACCAGGAGGAACTAATTGTTTTTCCTTTTCCCACTAATCTCGGCCACATGTTTTTATCAGTTCTTTCACTAGTGCCTTGTAATAACTCCGTTATCAACCACTGTAGGTAAACAAACTCCAGAAAACTGATTTCATAATACAAAAGTGAGTAGTGTTCTGTTATTTAGCTTTTGGACAGTGGGCCTTCAGCCATCCAAACCAGGTGGTAGCACAAAGGTAGAGAGGAAGGAGAAGCAGAACTAATGCTTTTGAGGGAGCAGCTGGCTGTTAGCCTGGCTTAGGTGTTGCATAGAACCTGTCTTCCAAGATCCAGCTCTGGAAGAATGTTGG